CCCCATGTCCCCTATTACTGGGGTTACTCTTGTAAATTCCATGGAGTTTCCATTAATGGTTTTATGAAAACAACATTTACCAAATACTAAAACATCAAGGAAAAACTGTCCTCCAAAATCATAGGCACAGCCTGGGTATCAATTCTAAGTAGGAGATGCAGAGTCTATGTTTGAATGAAGAGTTATGAACCTCCATGAGGAGAAAATTGCACACACTGTACTTGTCAGTATCTCTGTAATGGATATGCAATATGAGGGGACAGGGAAACACACATGGAAAGAAAGCAGGTGTTGGAATCAGAAAGTCTCTGTTTGACTCCAGCTCCGTCACCAACTAGCTTATAGCACTTAACACTATACCTGGCTCCTTTGTACTTCAATTTGTAAATATGCAAAATGGTGTCTGCAATGAATAGGTGCTTTATGAATATTAAAAGTAACAAGCACACGTGACTGCTCATTTGTATCAGACCCTGTTTACTTACACGCCTCCTTATTCACGTCTTCCAGTTCGACTCTTAGGAGATAGAAATTAAACACCCGATTGAAAGATGAGGAAGCTAAGCCTCAAAGAAATGAGCATTTTCCCCAATGACACAACCAGTAAATAACAAAATAAATTCGTGTTTCTAATCAACCCATCATCCTTGAGATTTCAGTGACTGATATCTATTGTTAAATACTTCCCAAACTTTGCAAGGTTCTGAAGTTATACCAGAGGTCAGCAGAAAAGGATGCTGGGATCAACTAGTGGTGCCTGAACAAGGGTGTACCATGTTGCTGACTGGAATTCTGACATCTGACGTTGTCTTTATCTTGGGATCTCAAGGATCTTGGGCCAGGTTTTCGCTGCCAAACACCAGATCACCACGTCCTTTCCTTTTTCTAACCCACCCTCTGCAGTTGCCAGAATGCACTTATAGAAAGATGCTTCTACCAGTTACTGCTGTCAAGGAACATGCCATGTCTAACCCATAGAATTAAAACCCAGAAAAAAAAGCCATATTTCATTATGCAGACAATAGTGGTGCTGTGTTACTTGAAAACTGTGAGAAGCAATTTTATTTTTACATATTCATTTTGAGGTGTGGCTCATTTTTATCCTGAATGAGAGAAGCCTCTTCAGAGAAGCTCATAAAGGGGAGAGCATAGAAAAAAATTTTTACATTATCGTTAAATGATACAGTATTATTATCTAGGTCAATTCTGGTAGCTTTCTAACTTCCATCCTGAAATTAGATCCGGAATCACAGAGAGAATTGCTAATGACCACTAATGGAAAGTCAGAACTGCAGCAACAAGAAGATAAACTTCTAACATTCCAAAAGAGTACCTCGGACGAACCATGGAACTCACTGGTATTTGGATCAAAGAATGGTTGTTCCATAAATAAGGGTTATGAAAGAGCCACCCATCTGAGTTAATGTCTCTAAGCCAAGAACTTCAATAGTCAAAAAATAACATAGACTTAATTTAAAAATTAGAAAGAGAATAGAAAGATGAGTGCTTTGGAAACTGAGCGGCTTGCCAAATGTTAAACTGGCCTCTCTACTTGGTCGACAGAGAGGAAGGACTGTACTAGCCATTCAGTGGATTTGCTTAGAAATGCAAATAATCTCTGACAAAAGCCACATCCAGATGTAGTTCCATCTAGATTATTCAAGAATGAAACCCTGAAATGTCAGCTCAGGATTTCTGAATAAGCCCCCAATAGGGCATAGTTCAACAGGACACAGTCCAAAAGGAGAGTTTACATAGCCAGGGAGCTGGGAGATGTCAGCAGGTACCAATATGGTGTTTTATGTTGTTTTAAACCTGTGGGTCTTGCCTCTTTTGAGATTGAACAACCCTTACGGGGGTCATATATAAAATATTCTGCATATCAAATTTTATATTACAATTCATAGTAGTAGCAAAATTACAGTTATAAAGTAGCAATGAAATAATTTTATGGTTGGGGGGTCACCACAACATGAGGAACTGTATTAAAGGGTTATGGCATTAGGAAGGTTGAGAACCACCATTTTAGAACAATAGTTATTGGTTCTTCCATTGAGGAAGCTGATCTTTTTCATTGAATATATTGACCCTGCTTTGATTTGATGCAGTGTTTAGCGGTTCATATAAAGTTACATCCAAAAAGAAAATCAATACCAGAAGAGTCTATGTAAGTTAGGTTGGTAAGACAAAGACATTCTACAAACTGTTACTCATTTGACAACTATTTATTGAACAGCTGAAACCTATCAGCCCTAAGGGATGGAAACCTGGCTCTGGTATTTTCAGGAGTAATCATGAGTCATTTCTCATAGTTTCAACAGAAATAACTTATAAGTCCTTAAGAAGGTCAAGAAGAAAAATTACTGGATTAAATAGAAACACACATATACTCAGTGGGTTGATTAAAAAGTCAGCTGGCATGGCTTGAGAGATGTACCAGTGTGCAAAAGGTACTTGGATCAAGCTTGGTCCAGTATGTAGAAAGTACTTGCACCAAGCCTGAGGTCTTGAGTCAAATACACAGGATCCAGATGGTGGAAGAAGGAAACCAACCCCCAAAGTTGTCCTCTCAATGGGCACACACACTAAATAAATATGTGAAAAAAAGTCCCTCACTGAAAAACAATGGCTAAGAGGGCACTTGACATAGACTCAAGGCCATCTACAGGACTTCCTCTCATAATTTTGAGTAAAAATTATCAGCCTAGATGTCCATCCATGAATAACTATATAAAGACAATGTAGTGTATCTATAGTGTTATTTTTATTCAGCTGTAAACATGAAATTCTAACAATAAAAAATGGGTTGCTATGTTAAATGAAATGAGCCAGACTCAGAAAGAGAAACAGCACATTTTCTCTTGTGTGCAGATTCCAGATTTCAGTTTATACACGTGTGTTTGTGTGTGTGTGTGTGTGTGTGTGTGTGTGTGTGAGAGAGAGAGAGAGAGAGAGAGAGAGAGAGAGAGAGAGAGAGTCAGGGAAGGGGGGATATGAAAGTGAAAAGGGGACCTGAGAGGGAGAAAGAAGTCTATTTGTATATTTAAGAGGAAAGGGAAGGAGGGACAGGACGGTAATCCACATGGCCTAAGGCAGAAAGGGAACTACGGGGATGAAGGGGAACAGGAGGAGTGAGGGGAAGGGCGGTGTAAGGAGCTAATAGGAACAATATAATGATACACATGTACCATTGAAGCCAATCTCTTTTCGTGTTAAAAAGTTAATTTGAGGATGATCAGTCTTTTCTTATTTTATTTCCTAGATTGTTCTGTTCTTAAAAGCAGACCTGAGAAGAATCCTGAAAGTAAGGGTCTTCTTACCCAACTGAAAGGAGAAAGCATTCGCTATTATTAACAGTTCTTTAACTTCGTATCAAACCTGTCAGCAACCAACCCCAAAGACACCAGCATACATGCTGTGGCTGAGCACACGGACAGAACACCAGGCCCCTCACTACTCTCTCCAAGCCACCCTAAGAAATGAGCAAAGGATTTAAAATCTGCCATTATAGATGCTTATTTTACTTAAGGAAATAAGGAAATAAAATCCTTCCCAAAATTCCCAAGAAACAGCTGATGCACTCACTACGGCTGAGGTGTACTCAACAGTGGGTTTCCATGAGCTACACATTCTGCTATTGATGAATGGAACAGACAACTTACATCCAATTAATTTTCCTGGATGGGTCCAATACCATCCCCTGCTTTGGAAAAAAAGCGGCGCTGACATAGAGGTTTTCAACCTGTGGGTCGCGACCTCTTTGTAGGTCTAATGACTGTTTGACCTTTTCACAGGAGTTACCTAAAACCGTCAGAAAACACTGATATTTGCATTACAATTCACAACTGTACCAAAATTAGTTATGAAATAGAAACATAATTTTATGGTTGGGGAAGGGTCACAACAACATGAGGAACTGTATTAAAGGGTCACAGCGTTAGAAAGGTTGAGAACCACTGGTCTAACGGGATCCGCCTACAGCTCAGACATTAACGTGTTTAAAATGAATACATATTTACAGTGGATTTTTTAAAATGCCCAGCAGAGTCTAGTTACAGATTCAAATTAGCATCCGCCAGAAATACAAAAAACTGCCCATTGAAACAGGACTGGAAACAAATACAACTTACAAATTGAAACCGGAAGTCAAACATTCAAGTGCTAATTTTTGTCTGCTCTCATGAGTCTGTAATGACCTTGACAGAGCTCGGATTAACCTTATTTCTGGAAACACTTTTGAAACTCAAGACTTCGTTTAACGTTCGTGGCAAGCAGGATGTCTGGAAAGCGGGTTGCTCACCAGGGCTTACTAGCGATCAAACACTCTTTTCGGGAAGGCAGACCGGCCCCTCCCCCTCACACCAACCTAGAGATTTTTTTCCCCAGTCCTCTAAATCAGATTCTGTTTCTTGAATTACTGCTCCATTGTTTTTTTTTTTCTTTTACATTTCAATTAACCACGGGATTTTGGACTACAGACTATCAGCAGTTGTTTCTAAGAGTTCTGGAAAATTATGTTTTAATAGCATTGCATCTTTTTGCGCATTTCCCTGAGGCTTCCAGCAAGCACTTAAGTTATTCCAGTAAGAGAATATGTCTCACGAGACTAAACAGCATCAATACAAGATCTAGAAAGTCCTCTCCTCCCCCCACCCTCTAGTATGAAGGTGCTTTACCAGTTCTCGCCCCTCCCTCCTTGACATCCCGCGCAGCCGACGTGGAGCCCCACGCAAAACCAGTGAGGTGGGCTCTCGGAATCCTGACATCATCTGCAAGGATGCATCCCAAGTCTGAACCAGAAAAGCTCACGCAGCCGGGTCCAGGTCACCGCCCCGAGGGCCTGGAGACCAGGAACCACAGTCTCCGCCTTCCCCTGCGAGAAGCAGCTAACCCTTGAGCGGGAGAGGGGCGCATGGGGGCGGGGACCGTAGGGCGACAGGAAGCCACCCGTCATCACCGTGTACCTTAGGACCAGCGGGCACACGTGCGCGGCCACTCACCAGCAGTCGTGCGCGTCCGGAGCTTGTGTGGGATGGAGACTGCGGCGGCTGCCCCCGCGCGGACCGCGTGGCTCGGGCATCCGTGTGGCCTCTGCAGCCCAGGCGGCGGTGGCTGCTCCGCAAAGGCACCGGCGCTTGGTGACGGTAGCACCAGGCTGGAAGGCACTCGCAGGCTGGTCTGGTCCGGGCCTCTGGGTTCTCTTTGCTCTTGGTCAGACGAGTTCTGATTCCTTCCTTGGCTTGGGTTCTCCCTTCTTACTTGCGGGACAGCCCCAGCGCCCTTGCAAATCAACTGTGGCGGTGCTCTCTGCCGCAGCTGCGTAGGGAATGAAATTGTCACAGCGATAGTTAGCCCCCTCCCCCTTCCCCCGGCCTCTGGGTGCGGCCTCAGCCTCTGCCTCCGCCCCCTCTGTAGCCACAGCCTCCCACGTGTGGCAGAAAAAGCTCTGGGGTGGCGGGTCCCAGCGGATGGCCTAGGGCCAGATGGAAATAGTTGTCATTTAACCCCCGTGCAACTAACATGCTCGCTCTCTGCCCTAGGTTGGACCACCTGGACAGCCCAGTGAACCATCAGCTTCGCCTAGAAGCTGGGGAAATGACTGAGACTCAATTACAGAGCATATGAGTGGTGATGAAGCTGGATTTGCCAGTGTCATGGCTTAGATATAAGGTTACAGCTTATGTAGGAATCCCATTCTGAGATTTAACTGTGACTAAGCACTCCTGCCTCTCCTCACTCTGCCTCTCCTCACCTTCTTGAGCTAGGAAAATACAGATAGCTCCTCGCCATTACTACATCGTCGCCATCATATACAGTGTCTTTAAAGTGGCCCTCGACCTGAGCCAGACACACAGTAAGCACAATGATCGATATTTAATACAGCCCCGTGTATAAACGCTGCACCTTATATGTTTTCCATGAATCAGATAGAGACAAGTAAAATTATTTATCTGTGAGTTTTATTCAGCTGGAAAGTAGTAGTAGGTATGCTGTAAATCGGAGAGTGTGGAGGACGAGGAGAAAGAATGAAGGTTGCGGAGAGAATCCATTCTGATTTAACATCTGTGCTGGCAAGTTTTATGGAAACTTGACACGAGATAGAGGCATCTGAGAAGAGAAAACCTGATTTGAGAAAAAGCCTTCACAAGATGGGGGGCGTGAGGGCTTTTTCTTAATTACTGGTTGATGTGGGAGGGCCCAGCCCATTGTGGGTGGTGCCACCATTTAACAGGTAATCCTAGATGCTATAAGAAAGTAGACTGAGCAAGCCAAGGGGAGCAAGCCAGTAAGCAGCACCCCCTGCCTCCCCTCCCTCATGGCCTCTACATCAGGTCCAGCCTCTACATCCGGTCCAGCCTCTACATCCGGTCCACCTCTACATCCGGTCCTGCCTCCTGATTCCTACCCTGTTTAAGTTCCTGCCTTGACATTCTTCAGAAATGGACTGTGCTGTGGAAGTGAAGTAAATCCTTTCCTCCCTAAGTTGATTTTTGTCCAGCTGCTTTGTCACAGTGTGATAAAGTAAGACAGCCTCAAAAGCTGCTTCTTTGAGGGAGCAGACGGTACCAACTCACCAACATTTTAAGAACACTGCTCCTACTGGTGAGACTGGAGGTCTTCAGCTTCGGTGTGGGGTGTGGGGGACCCAACACTACAGTGGGGTGAGGCACACTGGCTATCTTGGTTGGCTTTTCCTTTGGGAATCAAACTTGCAACCCTGACTCTGCCACCTTCCGAGCTGCTTAATTCACCCTTGGTCCCTTCTAAGGGGATGCCACCCTACTGTGGTGTGAAAATAAGCTTCCACTGCCTACAGCAGTCTGCAGCCTTGGTTTTTCAAGAGGCGATGGTGATGTTTTATTTATTTATTTATTTATTTATTTTTATTTTAGTTCCAAATAACAAAACCAGGTAATTCCACAAGTATTCAAGTCTTTAAATTGTATTCATTTGCTGTCAGAGGGCTTAAACCCAGAATTTCAAATGTGCCGTGGATGAGTTCTCACCTTGAGCAATGTCCCTAGCACTTCAAGATTCAGATTTTTAACATTCATCAAAAAAAAAAAATTTTTTTTTAGCATGGTCCACCCGCTAGGAGATGACTCCTTCAGAATATGCACTTCAGATTTGGTGGACATTTGAGTCTGAAGTTCTAGATTGGATAGTGTCCTTGTGCACTAGACAGTCTACATACTAGTGATACTAGTGAAAAACAGTCACATTCTTAATTCCATATATGTATGTATAATCGTGGCTGATTACAGATTTTACTACCTAGCATCCAAAGTCTCTTTTAAAAGGAGAGTAGGGTGGCACATTCCTTTAGTTCCAACTAATTGGAGACCGAGCTGGGAGAACTGACTAGACTTGAAAATCTAAATTTTGATGTGCTAGGGAGTTCTGGGTCAGTGCAGCCAACACAGAAAAATCCCATCTCAAAACAAAAATAGCATTTGGGGCAAGACGGCTCAGAGGGTAAAGATGCAAGCTTGCTGCTGTGCTTGACAACTTGAGTTTTATCCCTCCCACATGCTAGAGAGAAAGAACTCACTCCTGTCACATGCACACACACACACACACACACACACACACACACACACACACATGTTCGTGAATAAATAAACAGTAATTGTTGAATTAGATTTTTTTCATAAATGTCAAAATTACTCAGTGTGTTCTGTCCTCATCTTTGGCAGGCAGGACACTACCTGTGATAAATTCAGTCACTCGGAGGCTCCTATCTGGCTTTGAAACTAGATTTTTATTATTAAGGAAGTTTAGAAATAGTTCTATTACCTGCTGAGGGGCTTTTGTGTCTAGGGAGTATAACTTCAGAGGTGACAATGATACTGTCGTAGGCGGTGGCAGTGATGCCTAAGTGGGGTGCTGGAGGAGTAAACCCTATTCTAATGCCAATCGGCCAGCTTCCATACCTGTTTGATGCACAGTGAGATGCAGTACCTTTCCAGTTCCTTTCTGACTAAGCTAGGTGGGAACGGTTTAAGCGTCTGCCACAATTAGGGGGTAACTTAAGAACTTTATGAAGAGGTACTACAAGAGTTTAGAATTTTTATTCTTAGATTTCAAATTTTAATCTATGGTATAGCTTCCTTTCATTTTAAAAGATTTACTCTCAAGATGAACCAAAACCCACAAATCTAGGGGGAAATTGAGGGAAAAGGAAGAGAAAGAGATAGGGAGGGGGAATTGGAATCTGCAGACCTATAACTCCAACAACTCGAGATTCTGGGAGTGGAACAAGGACACAAAATTGCTATCCACGTACTATCAAGTGTGTAAAAATACAGAAAAACTCAAGGAGAAATGATCAAAATTACCTCCTAGATATTCGTTAGGACAGCTATTGCCTGCTTTATACTGAATCGCACTTTCAATTTTTGTGTAAAGTTCGTGACTTTCTTTTATTTAGGAAGGAGAATTTAATAAGCAAAGAGTAAATGAGATTGGCATGCAGAGCCTGGTAAAATCATGTTTGTCACAGTACCTGGTTCATACGAGATGGATCGGAATTATTTAGGAAGAAAGGAAAGAAATGAAGGGAGGTATACAGGAAGAAAGAAGAAACAAACATGCTATCACGTAGAGCCATGGATTAAGTGATGTGACTCCCTTGTCATCTGCTCAGTTGAGGGCACTGCATTCTAAATTGCTTTGTTGAGCAACACTATATTTCAATATTTCCCAACTGATGACAAATGAGTCCCACTGGACGTCCAATACAGCCAGATGAAGGATTTTCTTGTCGCACAACATCAGAGATGATCTGTCCTGAGATGTGGAACAGCCTGGAAGTGTTGGTACTCAAACCCGAAAGGTCTCTTCTTGCCTCTGGTTATAACACAGAGATCTGCGCTCTAGTTAGTGAACCATCATGCCAAGAACTTGGGTTGGTCTCTAATTTCCTTGTTTCTGAGATCTTACTTCTTGGAATTGGCAGTACATAGTATACAGGGCTGCATTTCTATTACCCAGGATGCTAAGTTGTCTATGTACTACTCCAGTAGTTTGAGGTATGTACAGAAAGCACTGGTTTCTTGGCTCAGCCCTAGTTCTGGCTCCAGACAGGCTGGAGTCCTTGAACTTGGTTGTAGATTTAGACTTTCCTGACTTTAGTTTTTTGTTTAATGTCAAATCTCAGGGGGAAGACAAGCACAAAACACCCAACGGTGCTGGGAAGTAGTGAGAACCCTCTAGAAAGCACGTGTTCTTACAGATGTGTTTTTGCAGTAATTTCACTTGGGTCTGGGGAGCTCATGAAATGCTTTTAGTCAACAAGCTCAAAAGGATTTTCATGAACAGACAAAGGCAGTGATTGACAGTTTCGCTCTTTTTCTCTCATTAGTTTGCAATAGAGAGTTCTAGATCTGTGTGTATGGTGTTGACCTGACTTCAATGCAGATAGAGATAGAAAAATCTAGCCGTTTCTCAAGCTGGCCTGGGAAGAAATAGAAAACAGGGCTGGGACTTGTAGTTTACTGACCTAGTTCATGTAAGGGCTTAGGCTTGTTCCTACCCTGGCATTGTAAAGAAAAATAAAAATCTAAAGAAATTCTGAGATCATAACAACATTGAGAGCCCTTGATCTATGCTAAAATAATGAGTTTCCACTTTCAGTTATAGCTATGGGAGTTTAGCCTGAGCCACTCAACACAGGAAGAAACCTTCAGAACGGAAATTGTGGGCACATTTGACATTTCTCCACATTTGAGACTTACTTGGGTGTCCTTTTCCTACTACTCAGACAATTTTCTAACTGTGACATTCTGTGTCCTATGTACCAGATGAGACTTGCAAATGTCTGAAGCCTCCTTCCCCGCTGCCATTTATAAACTGTCTTGGATCATACTCTCATGAGATCAGGTTTTTCAATTGCAAATCATGAACTATAGCTCAAGAGAGCTTGGAAATTAAATTTGAAGTTCTTCACTATTGAAGAAGAAAGCTTGCTCTAGGAAACATTTCAATATGCAGCAGGCCCTTGATGGAAAATGAACATTTTTTTCTTCAACTAATATTTACTTGACTTCTTGGGTTTAGGTACATATGATATTAACATATTAATTGTGTTTGAATTGTTGCTTTTAAAGTAGGAACTCTTCAGGTAGGCTGATTTACATATACAAGAATGCTTGAGGAAGAAGAGAAAGCTCATCAAAGATAAGAGGCTTCTCCCTATGCTGAGGCTGCTCCAATGAGATCAGAGCTTTATTGTTATATAGCATTGCCAACACCATCTCTCATTTATCCCCAGAGCCACCTCTCTGACCCTGGACCATACATTTTGATGACAGTTGTCGTCTTGACTC